GAAATAGCACGTCTAACTTTCATCATTTATTTTCAGTTAAAAAAAAAAAAGCTTTCATCATTTATTTGACTTGTAATTAGTGCCACTTTAAGCTTCAACACAAATTAAACACAATAGAAAATTCAACTCTTTGACCATTTGTTCAGATGTGCACAAAATACATATACTTTCCAAGTCTTTGACTACAATCAATGCCTCCCATATATAATGCGGATGCATACAAAGTTTCTACTACTATTAAAAACTTTTTTTTTTATATGACTCAAATAATTAGTCTAAATTTAATATCTAAAATAGTGTCTAACCAATTAATCAAATCATGCAACGTCATTTAAAAATTTATAAATTTTTTTTTAATTGACTTTTTCATGACATGATAAAATGTGATTAGTTTGATATCATTTTGAACATAAAAAATTAGAGTGATCAAATTTTAACCAAAAAAAAAAAGAATTACTGAAGGTTCTTTTCTGACCTTCAGTATAAAGAAAATTAAGTACCATTTTTCTCATATCTTTAACTTCAACTTTTATTAGGGGCTTCCGCATCCACATTCTTTTCAAGTTCAAGTGATTTCCTGTCAAAGTCCTCCTTTTGACAGATAATAACTGAAGACAACAAGATCTCAAATTATTCTGAAAGAGCAAAGCACAAACTGAAAAGAAGAAAAAAATTTTCCTTTCGCTTTCGATCTCTTCCACATGCCTCGTCAACTCTTTCCATTGCGACTTGAACTCGTGTTCTTTTTTTTTTTTTTTTTTTTCTCTAAATTCAAATTATGAGTTGAGTTTTTCTTGGAATAATGAACTCTCTTGATTGAGATGGTAGACCCGCTCTGTCGACTGAATTTTCATTATCTCTATGAGCATAAAAAATGGTACAAGTTAATCTATTATAGCAGTTTTTTCGTTTTCCTTTTCTTGAAAAAAAAAAAAAAGAGAAACAATAAAATTGCAACCAACCTAAAATTGATTGACCAAAAATATGAAATGGATTAGTTTTTAATACCTTCTTGTAAACTTGATTGATCACGTCTTTTATTACCTTCTTGACGAAGATTTAAGAAGCAATACACTTAATTCAACTCCATCTTTTTGAAGTTTTCATTTTTTCATGACTCAATATATATATATATATATATATATATTTTACCCAATTTCTCCAACCTTAATTTAACTATGTATTGTAAGTTCTTGAATCTACCTTAAACCAGCTCCGATTTCATTGTCTATATTGTAGTCATCTTCCTTAGCAATTGAAGCATAAAGAGTGGAGCTTTTATCACTACTACTACTCTTAGCAGCATACCAGTTCCCATGTTGATCAACCTTATAAGTTGTTTCAAACAATAAATATCATAAGCATACAACAGCTTTAAAGGAAAAAAAAAAGAAAAAAAAATTCTTGTTTTCAAATTGATAAAAGCCTACATTTTTTTTTTTGAAAAAAAAAACTTGTTGAGTGCATAAAATATTGCATACCATAAAAGCTAACTATTATGTGTTTTGTTTCAAAAAACATATTGCAAAACTATCATAATAATAATAATAATGACAACAACTATTACTACTACAAATACTATAAATCATCGAAATTAAAAATGCCACAGTTATCGATAAAACATAAGCTACAAATATTGCAGTCATCCATATATAAGCTTCAAATTACACCGCAAATGTAACATCCATTAAAAAAATAAAGTCCATAACTAAATGATAAAGTCTTGAAAAATATAAAATTCATCAAGAAAAGAGAAAAAGAGAAGAAGGGAAAACACAATCAATTCATATCAATTGAAGTTGAGCCTGTTGTTTGTGCGTTTAATTTAGATAAAAAGCTCCTCAACATCTGACAATGAATAAAATAAAATAAAATAAAAATAAGCAAATTGAAACATCTCTAATGTAATATTATAAATATGCAAACGTTGAATGTAAAAAACACTAATACAATACCATTTGTTTTGTCAAATTTACGATATGCTATATTTTTACAAAAATTTGCCACAAGTATTGCATATGATAAATTTAACATTTACTTATTATTATTTGATATTATTACCTTTTTATTTAATCATATTAACATTTGCATTTTTAAATTGTTTTAAATTAAAAGTTTACTTTTACAAGTTTTAAAGCTTTATGATCATAGTAAAATTTATGATCATAGTAAAAATAGATTTAACATTTGAAAAGACATTGTGTATTAGAATACATATAAAAATAAGATCTCAAATATACAATTATTACACTTTTTGGTAAAAAAAAAGAAAATACAATTGATTTTAGCATTTTCATTAAAGGCGGTTTTAGAATTAATCTAAAGTAGTAAAGTTATATCAATATAAGCTTAGAAAAGACATAAGCAGTAGGTCGTGACACCAAAAACAGGCGAGACAGGGTGATTTGGCAGGTTTTGTACCATCAAAGAACCTGCAACAAAAACTAGCTAAAATAAGAAATTTATCTAATTTGTATCGCCAGTAAAATCATGAGAATAGTTTAAAGTAATGACCACATACCATCATAACCAAGTGAGTGTTTATAATTTGAAGTAAGAAACACAGTGTCTAATATAGTAGTCTTATAAAATTCATAAATGATTGTCGTGTACTAAATAATTTTGGCCACTTGTCTCTCCATATCCACGTTGTACATATCGGGCTCGTTTAATTCGCTGTTCGAATTTTTAATTCGAGTTGAGATGTGATTTTATATGAGTGTTTTTTACTGTAATAAAAAATTTAGATGTGACTGTTTCTGAGAGCTTTTTACTGTAACAAAACTCGAATCAACGAAATGAACGGGGCCGTATATAATGAAAAATTATCTCATAAATGTAATGTTGCAAATGAATAATTAACATAATAAAAATAGTACAACGGATAAAATAATATATGTGAGGCACAATTAAGTTATACTTTTTTGCTTAATAATTAATTTAGACACATATATATGTGTTTATTTATAAAAATGTAGGTTGTTTTAATATAATTAAATGAATTATATGCATGTTTATTCTCAAGCTGTTAATCACCAAATGTCGCCCTTAGGTGTCACCAATTATGGAACACTCCACATTTTTGGGTTGTCACACTTTAGCATTTTATCCGATCTTTTCCAATACTAATAACCTTTTGTGTTGGACCCCTTTTTCATGGAATGAACGAAATAATAAATATTTCATCTCATTATATGATGTGTTAAATGCTTTATTTTATTTAGAGATAAAATTAATTTGGTATGCTGTCTTATAATAAAACATTGAGTTAATACTATGTGTTTTTTCATAATATTAAAATGGTACCCTCAACTTTTAAAAAACATTTTTTTTGGTACTTTTAGGCTATTTTTTAAAATATAAAATGTCTTTTATGTCCTTTTAATTAATTAAAAAAACCAATGATTTTTAACTTATTTTCTGAAAATATTTTAAATATATTCAAAAAAACATAATAAAGATGGCTATCGCGCTACGTTTTGTGGATAAAAATGGTTGTGTAGTTAGAACTTTTTGTGGGCATCGAACGTTGTGTAAAATTAGTATGTAAATGCTTATTTTAGTACTTGAGTTCAAAAATTACTCTCTAATATAATGCTATTTTTATACTAAATTTTTCATAAATTACTTTTATAAAATTTGACATTGAGTATAGCATATACCAAAATGTTTGGCATTTGATTATTATCGTTTGATGCGTTCATTTTTTTTTTTCATTTAATCATTACAATATTTTATTCATTATAGCTTCATTTTATAAATTTCAAAACTTTAGTAATTTTAACAAAAAAAAATGATATAGCATTTAAAATGCTATTAAGCATTAGTGCACAAAATAAAATGGTATATTAAATACGCCATATTCATATTTTTTTGTGTCAAATTTAACATCTGAATAGAGAGTACATTTTTAAAATGTGTAAAAATTACAAAGTTTTTGCAGAAAAATATTATGCAAATTGATGAAACTAACACAAATGTGAAATCGGTCCCGTTCATTTCGCTGATTTGAGTTTAAAATTCGAGTTTTGCTACAGTAAAAAGCTCTCACAAACAATCACATCTAACTTTTTTGCTACAGTAAAAAGCTCTCATATAAAATCACATCTCAATTCGAATTAAAAACTCGAATCAACGAACTAAACGGGAGTGTTTAAAACTGAACCGGTAAACTTTTTCATATCCTATTCTCATAAATATTTTTCTTTCACGTTGTCATTTTCACTTAAAAAAAGTTTAATTTCAAGTTAAAATTTTATTTAAATTCATGTTCTTTTGTAAAATTTGAGTTTGAATTTAAGTTTGAATTTGAATTTTAACTTGAGTTTGAGATTAAAATCTGAGTTCAAGCTTTCCCTTCAACTTAAGTTCCTAAACTTAAACTCAAGTTAATAAACAAATATTTTTTTTTCTATTTTTAAAAACACTATAACTTTTTCGTTTTAATTTCGACTGAGATGATTCTTTTTTTATGCGTTCACAGCGAAAAGACAAATAAAACTCCACTCATATACCCTATTAAAATTTTCTATCATCATTGAGTTTTTTTTAAATACTATCTAAATACAAACTCAAGTTTTGACCCACCTCAATACAAACTCAAAAAGATTCTCATTTCAAATCATAACTCAAATATACACAATCAAACACAAACTTAAGTTACAACTTCAACTCAAGTTATAACTCAAATTTAATTCAAGATCTACACTCAAACTCTGTTCATTTTACCGATTCGAGTTTAGAATTTAAATTTTACTACAGTAAAAAACTCTCAAAAACAATTAAATCTAACTTTTTTACTAAAATTACATCTCAATCCAAATTAAAAACTCAAATCAATAAGGACGTTTATTTCTTATATTCATCTCTAATTTTGAATCATAATTCATAATTTTTTATAATATTTTTTCTTATAAAAAATACGCATAAAATAAAAATAATTTTAAATACATAAACTAAACCTCCTTCCTCAAATTATCATAAACCCAAAAATACAACTAACCAGCCCTCAATCACTCATTGAACCTTCTTCATTTCTCACTTTTTGCATCTAATAATTGCCACCCCGAAACCAGCTCCACCCCTCTCTCTCTCTCTCCCTCCCCCTCTCTCTCTCTCTCTCTCTCTCTTTCCTTCTCCCTCTCTACGATGTAGCCCGTACGACACAATCCCGGTGCCCGATCCTCTTTCTTCGGTAATTGGTCTCAACACCGAAATCCAACCTTCTCAGACCCATCAAAAACGACAACCATGGTGTCGTCGTCGCCGGCAGCATCTTCGTCGTCGCCGGCATCAACTTCGTCGTCTCAAAACCAGACCAAAAGCTACCACTCCCTCCTCGCCGCCAAGCTCAGCCACCTCACCATCCCATCTCCCTCCGCCGTCGCCGCCCAAGACTTTGACTTCTCGGACGTCTTCGGCGGCTCCTCAACCCCAACCAACCTTGCCGCGTCATCGTCAACTCCATCCAAGGGGGACCCACATCCCCTCGTCATCCACAACCGGTCCCACTCCTTCGTGGGCCCCTCGCCTCGCTTCGCCACCACAGCCCCTTCCCCTTTCGCCGCCCAATTCGACTCCGACTTCGAAGACGGGAAGAGCGAAAACGGCGGCGTTTCGGCGGAGGCGGTGGAGCTGGGGAAGAAGAGGAAGTTTGGGCCGTGGGATTTTGAGATTCTGAGAGTTGTGGGTAAGGGCGCGTTTGGGAAGGTTTTTCAGGTGAGGAAGAAGAGGAATGAAGATGAAGATGGTGAAGATGGAGATGGAGATGGGATTTACGCCATGAAAGTTATGAGGAAAGACCCCATTATAAAGAAGAATCATGTCGATTACATGAAAGCTGAAAGGGATATTCTCACCAAAGTTGTTCACCCTTTTATTGTCCAGCTTCAGTACTCCTTTCAGGTGAAAAAAAAAATAAGAAAAAAAAATCCCATTTTTAGTTTTGGGTTGTTTTTTGTTCTTACTCATTTTTGTTGATTATATTCATTACCTAAAGTCATCTCTTTTACTGGGCAGCTTTTTAGACTTCTAGTCAAAACTGTTGATTATCTTTTATTTTGATTTGGAATTACAAGTCATTAACTTATGTTCTGTTTCAGTTAAGTTCTACGGAAATTAACGGTTGATATATGATTGAGAATAATTTTGTGTTGTGCGTTACAAATTTTAAAGGTGGACACTCAGATCAAACCATTGAAGAAATCATCAAAAGTTAAAACAATAAATTTCTACAGTTTTCTCTCTCTCTCTCTCTCTGTTTTTTTTTTTTTTAAATTTACAAGCTTTTTGAAACTTTTCCGGTTATGAGTATTTGGGTTTGAAATTTAGGGGCTGTTTGATTCCTGATTCGAGTTTTTAATTTGACTTTAGATGTAATATTACGTGAGAGTTTTTTATTGTAACAAAAGTTAAAACAATAAATTTCTACAGTTTTCTCTCTCTCTCTCTCTCTCTGTTTTTTTTTTTTTAAAATTTACAAGCTTTTTGAAACTTTTCCGGTTATGAGTATTTGGGTTTGAAATTTAGGGGCTGTTTGATTCTTGATTCGAGTTTTTAATTTGACTTTAGATGTAATATTATGTGAGAGTTTTTTATTGTAGTAAAAAATATTAAATGTGATTATTTTTTAGAGTTTTTTACTGTAATAAAACTCTCGAATCGGTGAAATGAACGAGACCGTGATCCTTTTTAACTATCTTTGGGAATTTACATTGTATGTTGCTAAGATCTTTTAAGTTACTATTCTACTTTGGCTGCCTTTTTGTTTTACAGGGTAAGTCTGAATTTCTATTTGGTTTAATTTCCATTTATGGTGGTATGATCTTGTTGGTAACCATTCTGTTGTGTCTGACTTTGTACAGACCAAGTCAAAGCTTTATTTGATTCTGGATTTTGTGAATGGCGGGCATCTCTTCTTTCATTTGTACCGGCAGGGTATCTTCAGGTTCTTTTTTTTTTTTTTTTTTTTAAAGTTCTTGAAAATTTATTTGCATTGTTGTTTTTAATTTATGATTCCTGTTTTAATTTTGGATTTTGGGTATGTCTTTGAGTAGTGAGGATCAGGCAAGGTTTTACACTGCTGAGATAGTATCCGCAGTTTCACATCTTCATAAATGCGGGATCGTGCATCGGGATCTTAAACCGGAAAACACTCTCGTGGACGCCGATGGCCATGTAATGGCCAACGGCCGTTCACTCAAAATTTTTTTTTTTCCTCATTTTAAGTTTTGGATGCATCTTTTAGTGATTTGTTTTCTTCTCTAACTTGTTTGCTTGTGCTGCAGGTTCTGCTGACCGATTTTGGATTAGCAAAGGAAATCGATGAATCGAGCAGGTCAAATTCGATGTGCGGGACCACAGAATACATGGCTCCGGAAATCTTGATGTCCAAAGGTCACAACAAAGATGCGGATTGGTGGAGTGTAGGGATACTCATGTATGAGATGCTAACTGGGCAGGTAATAATACCAACGAAACATTATTTACTTTAGTATTCTGAAATTGTAACTGGTTTTGGCTTTCTGTGGTTACATAATTGTCAGTTCTAAACTTTGAAAAACCATTTCTCTTTTTTGGAACAAGTACAACTAATGGCATATTAGATTATCGGTAGCTGTTGAAGATGTGAATTCCGATGGTTCTCGGAGTCTACTTTTCACTTTAATTCTTCCACTTTCAAAGGAATGATTCTGGTGAACTGTTCAACAGTTGTGAGCATAGATACCCCATTGGTGGGTAACTTTGTTGAACTAGTTTGGATTTCCTGGTTAATTTAGCACTTGGTTTTAGGCTGTCTATATCAATACTCCTTGTTCTGTTGTTCATACTAAAATTTTCCTTTTGTCAGTCCTATGTATGTGCTGCTGTTGGTATTTAAAGGAAATACCCTGGAGGATTTTTTGAAGTTGTGGCATCCAATTGTTTTCTAAATGTTTTGTTTTTGGGACCCACAATATTGTTAATGACCAATGTAAACCTTATTCTTGCTGCTAAACATTTTTTTTTTCTTTTTCCCCTTATTGCCTGCAGCCACCATTTACCCATGCAAACAGAAAGAAACTTCAGGAGAAAATCATCAAAGAGAAGATAAAACTTCCACCTTACCTTACAAGTGAAGCTCACTCTTTGCTCAAAGGAGTAAGTTTGCGTTCATTTAGAATTTTCCTCTCTTATTTTCCTAATGGCCAAATGATGTAGGACAAGATAGAATAGAGAATAAAGATGAAAGAATAGAACCAAGACAGAGAAGAAGAACCACAAAAGAGAGAGAAATAGAACAACAACATTTAAGGATTTAGAGAGAGAACAAGAACTCAAGACGAGGAAAACCACTAACATCAATACTCATTCATAACCATTCTCTGAAAATAAAATTAACATAAGTGATAACAGGATCCAAATCCTAAAGCAATTCGATTCAAAAGCAAATCCAATCCCTAATATTTTTTTTAAAAAAAAAAAAACCCGATAGATAAAGATAATCCTAAACATAAACCTTAAATTATAAGTACAACTTTAAATTCAACAAATTGAAATAAACTAATTCCTAATCTTATTCTGCATCACAAAATCCCTGTTTATGTTGGAAAACAACTTCAACTGATGAATGAGAATAAGTATATTCCTCTTTTCACCATTTCAGTTATTGCAAAAGGAACCACAAAGAAGGTTAGGCAGTGGACCTTGTGGAGGGGATGAGATCAAATCCCATAAATGGTTTCGAACGATTAACTGGGCGAAATTGGAGGCCAGAGAAATTGCCCCAAAGTTCAAGCCCGATGTTAGTGGGAAAGATTGCATAGCGAATTTCGACAAATGCTGGACAGTAATGCCTGCAGATGATTCACCAGCACCCACACCAACTGCGGGTGAACATTTCCAGGGCTATACTTATGTGGCTCCCAACCCCTGGCTTTCATCATCTTCACAAACTTGAGGCTTCAAACAAAGTGCCTAGAAAAGAACTAAAAAGATATCAAAGAATTGGCCATTTTAACTGTCAAGCTTACCCCTTGTAATCATCTTAAACTATGATTCAAAGTATGTTAGCAACATCTCATGTACATTATACTTTACCCTTTAAATAATAGCGCCTCTCAAGCCTCTCTTGGGCTTAAATTGTAGATGTTTGTGTCAGTTGTCCTTGTTAATCATCTTAAACTATGATTCAAAGTATGTTAGCAACATCTCATGTACATTATACTTTACCCTTTAAATAATAGCGCCTCTCAAGCCTCTCTTGGGCTTAAATTGTAGATGTTTGTGTCAATTTTCCTTGTTAATCATCTTTGCTCTCATAAGTGCGGAGGTTTTTCTCTAAGAAAATGATACTCGTCATTAGAGGGGAAAAAACAGTTTCATGGCACATCATAAAACCGATGCTTAACATAATGAAATGTTTGATGACGTGTATCATTGGTTGCGTATTTATTTAATGGCCATTGCTGCGGTTCCACGGATGAGTATAATGGAATCTCATTCAACAAAAGTATTCTGACACGATGCAACTTTACACCGGCCACAGCCGGTTGTTTGTAATGGTTGAATGAGTTTCACGAATTTCAAGAACACTATTCTTGTAATATATAAATGCCAAGTGAGTTTAGAAATGTCATTGTGTATCAATATAATATAATTTCTAGGTGTCAAATTGATAAATGTGTCTAAGCTACAAGGAGAATGTGGTAAATTCACCTATTAAATTATTAGAAAATCATTGATACGGTGGTAACGGTGAAAGAGGCCTTTGTAACATCAAAGGGTATGAATATAACGTGTTAGTTGTCTAATTATACATATACTAAAAGAGACGACGGATTTACTGTTCTCATGCTATAATGTTATGAATAGTTTTCTTCCTCTTTTACTTTTGCAGATACTAAAAGAGACGACGGATTTACTGTTCTCATGCTATAATGTTATGAACGGTTTTCTTCCTCTTTTACTCTCGCAAATTTCTTCAGATGATTTATTTATTCCAGTTATGTCATGTTTAATGTAAAGTTACTATATTGCCATTTGTTTTAATTTAATTGTCTACTCTTTCATTTCTTGCGTAGGTCAGTTAAAGCATTTGGTGGGTTTGGTCAATTTAGGCTAAAGACATAACGTTTTCTCTCTCTTCTTTTCCTGTTGTCTATTTTTTTACACCGAACCTTCTACCATGCCTTGCTCCTATGCTCTGTTCATTTCCTCAAATATGTTTCTTCATTAATTTTTGGCTTTGTTCTTTTTTAATGTTTTGGGATTTGGTTAAAATTTAACCTTGCGATTTTATAATATATTATTTTTTTTATTTTTGAATTCCTCTTTTTTTAATATATTTGGATTTCGTTTAGTTTTTTTTCTCTTCCCGTTTTTCAGAGTATAATTTCTCTTCTTACATGTTTTATGGTTTTTGTAATTTTGTTGCTTTGTTCCCTTTTTGATGTTTTGGGAAAACTGGAATGAGATAAGAGTATATTTTCTCTTTTGTAGATGTTTTTATGGTTTTTGTAAACAAAAAAAAAAAATCTCTCCTCTTTTTGTTTCTCTTATTTTTTTTTACGTTCCTCTGTTCATCTTTGTACAAAATTTTTTTTCGTTTTTTATTTTTTATTTTTCATTTTTAGTGTTTTGTTCATAAAATCCCTTTTTTTGTGTTGTAATTTTAAGTATTAATTTTATTTTGCTTTATTTACTTTTGGATGATGCAAGTCTTCGTTCTTCTATTTTTTTTTCCTAAATTTATTTCTAAAGTTTCTTCTGTACGTTGTAAGAGATTTTTTTCTTATTTTTTTTCATTTATTTATGTTTTAGGGTTTTTTTCCTTTTTATTTTCTTGGGTAAATTTTTTCTTATTTTTTTTGTTTCTTTCTCAGGATTTTTTTTTTTTTGACTTTTTTATGTTTTAGGTTTTTCTCTTTTTCTCCTTTTTTTGATAAATTTTTGTTTCTTTTTTTCATTTATTTGTTTACTATGTATGATTTATTTGTCTTAATTATTTTATTTCAGAATGTTTTTTATGCATATTTTCTTTATTAAAAAATTTCCCTTATTTTCTTATTTCTCAATCTGATCAGTTTCCTGATGCTTTTCTTCGCTTTATTTTTTGCAGGATTATTACTGACTTACCGTGTTAATGTTATATTTTGACACGTGTTTTCTCATGTTGCAGATTCGTATAACATATATTTGATATTTTTGTGTCCGTTGCTTATTCGTTCCTTTTTGCGGTGAGTTACATGCTTGAAGACACATGCGGTAAAAGAATTACTTATCTGATTCATCCCTCTTTGTTGGAATTTGTATTCTGCGTATATATAATGCCTTTTTCTGCCTTCTATCTTTGCTAACTCTTTAAAAAACATCTTCATATTAGGCTTATGTTAGTATTGTTCCTGTTTTTTTGAAAAATTGGTTCCTTTTTTTCCTTCGTTGGTTTGGATATTGAGTTATTCTATCTGCCTCTGTTTTGATTTTGAATCTTCATTTTTCTGTTGGATCTATCATGTTCACTGTGTTTCTTCGACTGAGGTATTGTGCTTTTTTTCCTTACATTTGTTTTTTTACTGTTAAAAACTATTTAGTTGTGATGTTGTTTTGATTTTTTATATAAAGTTATTCATATCTTCCTTTATCTCTTCACTTTATTATGTGTTTATGCTGATGTTATTATTTGCTTTTAAGAAAATGAATTATTCTGTTCACATATCTTCCTTTTATCTCTTCACTTTAATCTGTTCACATAATGAATATGCTGATATTTTTATGCATTTCCTCAAAACGCTGTGATGTTGTTTTGCTCCTGTGCTTTGTTTTCTAAAAGTTTTTTTTTTTATGTTCTTTACTATTTCAGTTATTTAGATTATTGTTATTTACATATTCGTTGTGTTGGTATTTTTCCTTTTCTGTTTTTCTGTGAATAGTTTAAATTTTTTTAAATCTTTATTCTTATTTGGTGATGATGTTGTTATTTTCTTTTATTGTTAGTACATATAGGGTGACTGTTAATTAAAACATTGATGTTTTTGATGTTGCTCGTATTGTTTGGGGTTTATGCCCGTATTGTCTGGGATTTGTGCCCGTATTGTCTGGGATTTGTGCCCGTATTGTCTGGGGTTTATATCCGTATTGTCTAGAGTTTATGCTGATATCTTACAATTTTTTTTCTTATGGTATTAATGTTATTTGATGAGTTAGTGTTTTTTAAACAATTACTACTTTTTTTATGTTCACATTACAAAAATTTGTTTCTGTTTTAATTTAAATTACTTTGGTCTTTATGTATAATAATTGTAATAATATGTCTTCAGTATTTTACTTATTTATTTGTTCTTAAATGTGTCGTTTTATGTGTTTTTTTAGATATTTCTTCATTTTTTTTATTTTCTATAATTACTTTATAGTGTAATATAAAGCATATTTTTTTTTCTGTAGACAGATTTAATGTATGTATGTGATATGTTAGTGCAACTAAGTATATTCTAAAACTCATTTGATTTTTTTTCTTTCTTATATTTTGCTTTTTATATACTATATTCATTATGTGATAATGAATTATTTTCTGAATACAATACTATATAATACATATATATAAATATATTTTAAATACAACTATTATATAATATAATATTGTACTCCGCACCAACGCGCCAAATACAGGCTTGTGTAACCTATAAGAGATGCGTTTGGCCACGAAATAAGCATGTAATAATACAAAAACCAATGCTACTTGATTGTCGTTATTTATTTTGCATGTCGTAAGAAATGAAAAATTAATGGGTTATTACAATAAGTTTGTAAAAGGTTCAATTTTTATTTTTTTTCGCATTCTATGCTAGTTAATATAAAAATATATATATATATGTCCAACAAGGTCCTTAAGTGCACATGTCAGTAGAGATTGAAATTGGTCTAGTGCTAATAATAAATATGAGTTAGAAGACATAGAATTTGGCAACAAAGAGATTCCGAGAAATAAAAGATAAATGCTGAAGTTTATTTTAAATTTAAATAAGTAAATCCTGTGTTTGAAGGGATAATTAGAGATAGAGATTTGTTAAAAAATAAAAATAAAGATAGAGATAAGAGATTCCTAATTAGATACGAATTATGAAATATTCCAAAAATACCAAGAACGAAGGAACGAAGGGATTCCTGCTCTCTTCTTATAGTAGATGTAGCTCTCAGAATTGTTCTTAGAATTGAGGGTGAATCATTCTAAAATTCTTGTGTTCTTACGTTCTCTTTGTTTTTCTGCTTTAATTGTGTACACATTACATTAATTCCAGTGAGATTTGTATTATTTAACTAAGAGAAACGTAAATTTATTATTATCGAATTTTCACCGTCAATAAAAATATTTTTTTAGCACGTTCAATTTTATTTATGAAACTATACAATTCGAGATAAACATGCGTTGTGATTGAAACACACATTTTGATACATCTATCTTTTAGATCTAATTTTTTAAATGCGCCTCATCAAAAATTATATATATCTATTTTTTTTTTTATTTCTTATGTGTTTAAAATTGAAATGAGTTTCTCTAATAAAATGTTCAGGTGACACACACGATAATGCACGCGGAGTATGTACCTATAATTAGTACATCAATGGGGGAGAAATTAGTGAGCGTTAATATTAAAAGAGTTCAAAGTTGAAAAATATTACAAAATAGAAAGTCTCGAATAATTTAGGTTCCTACATGAAGTGAGAACTCCAAGATCAATTTTTCAATTTTTTTTTTTTCCTTCGATTCAACCTACAATTTTGGAAATTCTGCGACAATGCCCACTCAAATATGCACTACCCATAACACTCAATTATTTACGCTTTAAGTGCAAGGAAATGATTCCCATCAAATGGGTGCATCAAACAACCTATATATTAGAGGCAATGTTGGGGTGAAAGTTGTGTGAGTTAGTGCAGTTTGAAGTATTTTTATTAAAATTGTTATTTCACAATTTGGAAAATTCCAAACCAATTCAAACTATTAAATTTGACATTTTAAAATTGAGTTGTTTTGATTTGTGCGGTTTGAAACTTTGGTTTAAAATCATTTAAGCACCTATCAAATTTGAAATTATTGTATCAAAGAAATCATTAAAATGAGTGCAAAGTTTTAGTCTATTAGATTTGCATTCATATATTAAGCTTCTGTAAAATCTAAATATTATATATATTTGGTGTCCAATAACTATAAACGGATACAATGAAACAAAATAAAAATGAATTAATAGGAGTTATCTTAAAATCAACTTTAAAGAACTAATACATCTTTGCCCATTTGAGAGAAAATGTTGCACTTTACAG